AGGGAGAAAAGTCAGAGGAGGGAGGAAGGGGTGGGGGGTTGTGGGGCGGGGCAGAGGGGAGGGGAAGGGGGGAGGAGGGGCAGGAGCACCGTGTGTGAGGGAGGGTGAGAAAGCAGCAAAATCAAAGAAAGACGGTAATGGGTACCCCCCAATGGCTGCCCAAAGGGTTGGTGAGATAACGAAAGCAGATTTTTTTTTTTTTTTTTTTTTGTTTACCTCTCAAGAAGTTCTTCGGCAATCGGCTGACGGGGGACGCAGACTTTTTTTGAGCTTCTTTTGAGGATTCTGCCATCTGAAAAGCTGCCACCTTTGCCTTCACTAAATTTTTGGGGATACTGGCCCAATCTCGCACCTCCCTCTTTGTCCCTCCTCCGGAGCTCCTGCGCCGTCTAATCTGCTGCTTCTTACTACCACCCCCTCTTCCTGTGGCTCCTGTGCAAATGCTCCCTTTGATCAAACCTTCATCAACTCGCCCCTGCCCCAGCCCCATTCCCCCGGAAGTCTGTGCATGTGTTTCGCAAGGCACAGACGACTCCAAAGCAGCATCATATTTTGCTTTGCCCTTGCCCGGCACAGACGTCTCCAAAGCATCATCACATTTTGCTTTGCTCTTGACCACGCCGTGGCAACCCCTCTCCTGAATGACACTCGAAGCATGTCCCATCGTCGATGCTTCGGATCTGCTCGTCTTTATCTCTGGATCTCCTATGTCTTCGCCATTCCACGACGAGAAGTCGACGGAACCGGTGAGGAGCGTCGACTCATCGAGTGTTTCCAGGCTTCGAACTTCGGCCTTCTCACGAGCCCCGGTGTCTTTCCAGCCAACAGCCAAAAGAGACGAGTGTGAGAGCGTAAGAACAGCAGCTTGCTCCTGTTCTCCGTCAGACTGCGTAGCCAACAGTGTATCCGAAGTGGCGGTGACCGAAAGCGAGTTGTCCGCGCTGCTCTGTAATGTGTCATCCTGACAAAGCGAAACCACGGCATCATGGTCTGAGCGAGAGCTACCCAGGGACTTCATGGACATCATTTCATCATCTGCGACTCTTGCGTAGATCGCTGCACCCGTGCGATCAGCTTCCCCACGCGACACCGATCCCTCCGCAACAGGTCCACCAACTTTCCCGGCCTCCGTGGCCAAGGCTTGCTCTTCTCCTTTGCGATGCAGCGATCCCTGTGCAGCAGCAGATGATGATGTATCTTTCACCGCAAGCACCCTCCTTGAAGGATTACCATCCACTAAAGTCGGGACTGGTAGACTAGCAGGCGCTCGAGAGGCCGCAATGTCGTTCAGATGTGCATCGTCATTTCTGACACAAGCTCTGTCAGTCGACCGGGCAGGCATCTCCACTGCCCTAGCCTCAGCGGCCTCTATCTGGGAACTACTTCCCAGGTTTCCTTGCTTCTCTTGAAACCTCAACCCAGATTTGCTGACCCTCATTTCCACCCCCTCTGCAATAGAGCTGTGCTGTGATGAGTTCGCACCCTGATGCTTCACGTCTACCTGACTAGTACTAGTCGTAGCCTTATCCATCCCACAGATTCCTCCTCGCTGCTTCCGTCCAGGGACACTGCCCTGCCTTGAGTTATCGACCGAGGCAAGCCTAGCACTACTAGCACCGGGAGCGCTTTGAGAAATACCCCCTCTTTCAAACCCAATGATCAACGTTTTGACCATGCTTTTCAGTCTTTGACTGGGACTCTCATGTTTTTCTGTGCGACTCGCGTGCGTTTCTTTGCTGCTTGCATGCATTTCTTTGCTGCTTGCATGCATTTCTTTTGAGTCCTCAACTTTGCTGCAAAGGCCTAATTTGTGTCTAGTACGTTGTTTGCCGTCCGAGACATCGCTACGGCAATTCGACTTCAACTGGCAAAGTGCATCGTCCAGAGCGTCCCGAGTTTCTCGGTTGCGAGTTGGGAGGAAGAAGGCCCCTACGTTGCTCTCACAGTTACCCTTCAATGCCGCCGACTGGCACAGTGAGACCTCCAGACTTGCTGGGATCGCTTGCCTGCTGAGACCTGAATTGAGGTCTCGCATATTGCTCTCCCGACTGCCATTCACATCGTAAGCCGTTGCTGTTCCAAGGCAGACCTCCACAACTGGATGCCCATCCCTCTCGCCGGTATTGCCCCCACCGAGTCCAAGCGCCAAGCTGCCTTCAATGGCCGCCTCGTCTGGTACTCCACCACTGATGCTCTCCTTGATGCTCTCGACCGATGCACGCTTACATAATTCACATTCACCGGCACCAACATCGCTGCTTCCACGGAATTCTGACGAGCCCAACTCGCTGGAGTTCATCTGGAGTCGATGCGGGGGGTCCTCTTTTTGGTGTTCATCTCGTCGTCCCTCGTTGTCAGCCGAAGAGGATTGCGATGCAGTGCTCTTGAACTCTTCATCGTAGTATACATTGCATCCTGAGATTCTTTGAAGCCTTGCATCCAACTCCCGCATTTTCGTTGAAATGGACTTCAGAGTTTCCTCTACACTCTTCCCTGGGAACTCTTCTGCCGTTCCCTTCTCGTTGCGTTCCAACAACAACAACTTGTCCCGGAGCATCATCGGATCAGTCGCACAATCGAATACCTGCTGGCTACGACCGGTCACCGCTGTGGCTGCTCGTTCCTTCTTTCCTCGCATCGCCCTATGCACCCCTCTAATGCTTTCTGGAGAACAAGAGACCCCCGGACCCTCATCATCTGTCGCCGCCCCAACCAACCAAGTCGTGTCTGCCTCAGTACCTTTCTTCACCCTCTCCTCGTCCAGGAGGGCTTCCTGAGTTGCAAAGCTTTGCACCGAACCTGTTTCATCATTACCACACCCTCCTCCTCCTATGGGATGATCCTTCTCTTCCAAAAATCGCATCGAGCTGTGTGGTTTTGAGGTAGTTGGCCCATCAGCTCCTCCTCCATTTTCATCTATCAGACCCCTTGTGTTCACAATTCCACCCCCCCCTGCACAAGATGGTCTTACCTCACAATGCTCGAGACCGCCTTGTGCCACTCTTCCATCATTGCCAACGAGCTCATGCGCACGCTCATGCTCAAGGTTATGACCATCCGCTGACTTCAGCCTCTGGCTTCTCCCATCGACTTCAGGCTCTGGCTCTATTGCAGTCTCCTCATTGGCTGTCCGGGCCTCCTGTGCTGCAGAGAGAGGAGCCACACCTCGCTGTTCGATGGCATGCTTTGCGGAAGGCATGGTATTACTATCTGCTAAAAAACTTACTTCATCCTCGCACATTTCACATTGCCGACTTCTCGACGAGTCCTGACATGGCTCCTGCCTTCGTACGTGCAATTTGAGCCTGCCTCCATCAACCGATCCCCGAACGGAGGCCCGCTTCCAGTCCACAGACCGGCTCACCGTCATCAACTCTCTCTCGAAACGTTGTATGATGCCCTTCACCACGCCTCTTTCCCTCCCGCTTGCCGCGGTCGATCCCGTCCGTGCATCTTCTGCCTTGCCTGCTGGAGCTCCTCCTCTGTCCAAGCTCACCCTTCTCGACAGGAAACTTGAGCGCCGACGCCTTTCTGAGCTTAGTCTTCGAGACACAGTCCTTTGCAATTGCCGGCCCTTTTCTGGAGATACTGAAATTGGAATTTCTACCCCCTTCTCAATCGGGTCCATCGTACCCATGTGCGATTCTTCCACCACCTTGCTCATTTGCCCACTCGCTTCCTCTTCCCCCCCTTCCCAGCACACCCTTCTAGTTTGGCCATTCATCCTCCGACGCAATTCCGAGCTCAGTCTTCGCCCCAAAGGCCGCCTAAGTTGCCCCCGCGGCATTGTCAATCTCTCAAGGGCATCTGCTGCCACTTGAAATTCAGTACCCTTGTCAAGCCCCTCCTGTCTTTTATGCGGGTCCACCCCATTTCCAAGCAAATCAGGCCCCCCAATTTCACCAAAACCCTCTCGACCGAACCTTCTAGACTGCCGGCGCGCTCCTGAACTACTAAACCGTCGCGCACGGGATCTCTGTGATGACACCCCCTCACGATGCCCATTATCGGATGGAGGAGATTCCAACAAAGGATTCTTCTTAACCCGTGTCTCCCTTTGTTCTTCTTCCGCCCAGTTTTCATGCCTCTCTTGCGGCATCGCAGCTTCATCATCAACCCACTGTCCATTCCTTGGCTCTTCTGCTTCTTTTCGAGGACAAGCCCATGCTTCTTCGCTCACGATGCCTTCTTCCGTCCTAACACTGCCCCCCCCCTTCGGAGAAGCATTCCCAGCTGAAGAACAGAGGCCGCTGACACTGCTCCCTCGGGTCATGGAAAACGGTTCGCTAGAAACATTGCCATGTTTTTCTCTTGGACCATTCGGCCGCCAGATTTTGCTCGCCTCTTCGCTGCGGCTACCACCACCTTCTCCCTCTGCGGAACTGTATAGCTCGGACTGTAAAGCAACTATTTCTTCCCGAAGAGGACTTGCGAGAATGCTAACATCCGTGTCCTCTTTCAGACCGCCAATGCTAACAGGATGAGAGGTACTTCCATGGGTGGCAGCAAGGCTGCTTTGCTCAGATTGCGGGAAGATGTGCCCTCCTTTACCTCCCGAGGTATCACCTTCACTGCCCAAAACACTGTCCACTCCTCTTCCACTTCCCTGGCCTGCAGCATCACCCTCGGACGTCTTACAAAGATGACCGATGGTTCTGCAAGTGCTGTCTCTAACATCCATCCAGCTCCTTGCATCCGCTGCACATAGACATGTTTCCTCGTCCTCTAGTCGTGTTTGTGCCTTGTGCAGCGCTTCTTTATTTCCTCGCTTTGACTCTTCTTCCGGTGTCCGGGCAGTGGTGGCTCTTCCCCTGCCACCCACCCAGAAGAGCATGTGATCAGTTTTTTGCAGCTGAGTACCTAAAACAGCAAGTCCGTTTTCGAGAGAACGATTACGTGCTCCAGAAGGGACAAACGGAACGCCAGTTCTGCCGGCGCCTTGGCGATCTATTTGCTGCCATGCCTGAACTCCCGCTTCATCTGTCGTTTGCGCATCTTCTTCCGTGGAAAAAGGAACAAAACACGGAGGAGCTTCTGCTACCAAGGACGGACGGAGAATATCATCGTGGCCGTCTGCAAGTCGCATTTCGGATCCCTGTTCGCTAGAGCTGATTTCAGAAAACGCTAAACCATTCTCGACGGAGAAAGACTCAGGTCCGTCTTTCTCGTGGCAGTCCACCACGCCGGCATATCCCTTGGCAGACCATCTTGTCCTTGTCTGATTTCCACCGCCGACATTTTTTTGCATCTCAACCTCCGAATCTAAGACCTGCTGCTGCTGCTCAGATCCCACCAAATCCATACTGCTGTACTCTTCAGTATCATCTCGCTCTCCCCAACCGCACACTGCACATGCAGGGTGATAACTCACGGCTCTGAGTCCTCTGTGCATTTCGCAGCTGCTTCTGGACTCCTGGATCTTTGGGTCATCATTCTCATCGGCCAAGCTTGTTGGGCCAACGGGACTTGAACTTGCAACCTGACCCAAACTACTCTCTGGCGTCCGGCCCACTTTCCTTCCATGGCTTCTCCGTCTCTTCAACTCGTTCTTACCCACAACGACAACATCAACCACCTTATCCTTCTCCTCCTTCTTAGCTCCCCCCTCTCTCCCGTCTAGTCCCGACCCTTCCGCCTGCCTTTTTCGCACCCCCCCCTGTACCCCTCGATTACCATCGACAAGTCCTGGGCCCATCTCGGTCCCCCACCGGTACTCGTACCGCATCTGATCCTGCTGCGCGGGCCCCGCCCTGCTCCATGAAGGAATTGTACATCCTTCTGTTCCCCCCTGAGACTCTGTGCTGCCTGCATGAAGCCAGAAATCGTGGGTATGTTCATCTAGCATTCCTGAACCGTCATCATGAGAGGCCCTGTGAGCATAGAGCGTCTCATACGCAGCCCATTCCCTCGCTTGCTCAGAGGGGGAATTCTCCGTAGCCCTGCCATTCGCTTCGTCAGATGGCAGTTCTCTCGCGTGCAGATTACCTTCCCTGATGCAATCATCGCAGGAAGCATCGAATGCGCGAACGCACTGTAGACAATCCTCTTCTTCCACCTCCCACCTACCTCCTCCGCCTCCACCACCTTCCCTCTCCCATGCTGTAGAGTGCCCATAAGTCGGCATAGAGGAAGATACCGCAGCACCACTGGTCAAGCATCGGTGAACGGCTATTCCATCGCCCCGGAGGCTTTCATGCACCGTTTGGGAAACAACGGCACCGTTGAATGCCCGCCGATGATGCTCATGTTGTGTTTGTCCACCTGCACAGAGGGATCTCGGCTTAGATCACACAAAGCTGCAATCAAACGTGCGTACAGAAGAATATTTTCACCCTAATCCAACAGCTTCCACTTTGGACACCACCTGCCCTCCAAGACATCTGTTAAAACTGGAAAGATACAGACATGACAGTGACGACAAAAAAAAAAAGAAGAAAAAAAAAAAAAAGAAAGACAGTCACGACACACATAAATCGAGAAATCGTCTGTGCATCCAATGGTGGGTTGGATCGTGCATTCGTACAGGTACACACAGTGTCACACACCCATGCCCACACTCAAATGAATGTGCCTGGATTACTAAGCGTCATACCGACTCATACCCAGCATCCAACTGAACGAGTGGGGAGGCGCGATGCTGGACGGGGGGGTTGGGGGATGGCGGGGAATCCTTCCAAGATCCTGGCCAAAAAAAATAATAATAATAAATAAAATAAAAATAAAATAAAAAAGAGTGCGAGGTTGACCTCTCGCCCTCTTGATTGAATGCTAATTGCCTTGTGTTACCCATCTGCCTTAACCGCACACGTACATGGTCAGAGTGGCCGACCAAGACAATATACAATATAGTTATTAACCGAAGACAGAAATGCATCCGGAGACGGAAATGCAGTATAAAATTATAAATAACCTAGGCTACCAGTCGGGCCGCCCGGGTCACCCTATTTTCCCGGACGGCCCGGCCGTGCAAGGACCAGGGAATGTCCTAGCAAAAAAAAAAAAAAAAAAGAACAAAAAAAATCCGGCAAAAAACTATGTTATGCAGAAAAATAAACTGAACAACTTTTGCCTCAGGGTCACATCGAAATTCTTTACCGTATTTAAAATAAAAAATAAAGTTAAAAAATAATTTTTATTTTTTTTGGCCCGGCCGGGCAAGTGGCCCCGGGCCACTCTGGTAGCCTAGTAAATCACCAAATTGATGAAGTACCAGGAAGCAAACACAATCCATTCAATGAAAGAGTATCACCAAAACAAAAGCCTGAGCCGCCTGACCTTTCTTTTTTTTTTTTTTTTAAAGAATAAAGAAAAACACATGCCACTTCTATTCTGGGGGAACAGTAGTCAGGTCGCCCCAAAACAAAGGCCTTGTGTGATGCTATACCA